CGCTGCTGGGCTGCTGTTGGATGAGCAACACGCGGCGGGGTGCGCCGCAAGTGATTGCAAACAGTGTCGCTGATGCAGCTTACGGCCCATTGCATCACCTTTCTGCCGCATGCCACCTTCTTCAATGCTACAGCAATGGCAGAGGGAATGCGGCCAAGAGGCTCCTCAGAGGGATCCAACGACGGATTTGCCCAGGGTGTCTAGGTGCCGCAATGCAACGAAGCTGACGCATGGATCCACATGTGACATCAAGTCGCCCTCTCCTTGCTCCTCCAGATCAGTGGGCTCGCAGACGGATGAGCCAAGGTGTCCCTTGAACGAAACAGAAGCCTACTCTGTAGGTGTTCACTCCTTTTTCTGCAGTCGCCGTTTCAACCTCGCCGGATAAGATCAACAGGCAGAGAACGGGACCGGGTTAAGCTTACCCTGGTTCGCGTTAAAGCTTGCCTGACTGTAGGGCTAAGAGCGGTTTTCACTGGGACGCTGCGATCAGAGTGTTGCGTCATACTCATTATCCGGAAGCCACTATTGCTAGGTTACTTTTCCTTGCCCTGTAGCCACCCTCGACCTTGGGGGCTGTTGGATACACTGAGAACAGGAAATGAAGACGGGGAAAAGGCCAATTTCCAGCCGCATCCTGTGGGATGACCATCGCTAATCTGGAGAGTCACCCCCGCAGCAGGGTCTAGGCGAGCCGTTGAAGAAGCAGAGGGCATTGAGCAAGTACGTCGCGTCAAGGCCAGCCGTGGTGAGCTGAGCGAAGACGGAGTTTTCGCCGTTACGTCGAAAGCTTAATGGACAAGGATAAGATGGCAGAGGTGAGGCAAGGCAATGTGGTGAGTTGAGTGCCTCGCTGTCGCCGTCCTCGTCTGTCGTTGGCTGCATTCTGCCGGAGCACTAAATCTCTGGCTGACAGCCTAGTACTAATAACAGCCACCCATGAGCCAGAATAGCTCGGTCCGTTTCCCGGTCCCCCGACTCATGGTTGTGTGGATGTGTGGCTACGCGAGGCTAGTGAAAGGCGACGAAAAGTGGCGGGCTACTTTTCGGTTTGGGACAGCAAAGGCGCCGGTCTGGTTGGGCAGGCATCAAAGACGGTGTGGCTTCGGGTGGATGGCGCCATGTTGTTTGTAGCCGTGGGGGCAAAAGAAAGAAACGACGGCCGAGTTTGCTTTTGTGTCTTCATTGTCTGTAGTCTGGAGATTGAAACAAGGCCAGCGTCTAGGAGTAGTACCCGCGCCTCCGTGCAGATACTGTGAAGTTATTTCCCTGATCGATTGCGAGGGATGTGCTTGTGTCTCCGTACAGGACTCGGGAGGCGGAGAGCGGGAGGAATCGAAGGATTGCGAACAGAATCATCAGCCCTGGGGAAGGGATGTCATAGCTGTCAATCGAGTCCAAGAAAAGACGCGTTGGCGTCTTGTAGGCTCAGCCTGCTTACTGTACCGTGTTCCCCCCTCCTCCTCTACTCTTGCGTCTTGCATCACCCAGCCGCGTTGCCCCCAATGAGGCCGACAAACGCCGCCGGTCTGCAGCAGGCAGTCCATGTCGAGTCCGTTGTGTGTCGAGTGAGAGAGACCAGGGTGTCGAGACCAGTCAGAGTCAAGACTTTACGACTCTGGACCACTCTTGGGCCGGGCGACAATCAAGATAGGCGGTCTTCACCCCTGGCCCGCCGCCAATGGCACAACATGGCGCACCTCCATTGATCCAGACCCATGCAGTCGGCCTTATTGCTTCAAGCTTGAATTCCTGGTACGTTTTTTTTTCCCTCATTGCGCACCCCTGCCGCCGTCGTTTCCCACCCTAGACTGGGCTCCTTGCTGGCACCAGAGCGGGCTCCAAGCTCCTCCTCCTAGGCAGTTTTCTCATCCGTCTGGCACTCCACGTGTGTGGAGAGGTGGGATGCGATTCCAAAAAGAGCAAGAGAGGAACGATGGGACTTGTGAGAACGCCGGCAGGGGTAAGAAAAAGAGAGGGAAAAAACTGCAGGGCCTTGTTGTTGTTCGGAGTGTCTCCCGCGGTGAGCTGCAGCGGCGAGCTGGAAGAATAAAATCGATAGCTTCCCTCCCCTCCCCTGGCAAGGCGTTCCCATCATCACTTGGTGCGAGGCTGCTGCTTATCCACGATCTCCCCCAGGCACTTCCCTTTCCTTCCACCTCGCCTGACGAACTTCAACACGGTTGCTACCCTGCTTGGACCTCTCCTTCTTTTTCGCCAAGAACGGACGTCGGTTGCGGTGTGGGTGAGAGCAGGTTGCGTGGGATTGCCATTCCGCACGAAGGAAGGAATTGGTTGCGGTTGCGGTTGCGGTCGGTGAACTAAAAACCCAAGGGAACCTTGAATCGAAGGAACGGACTCGACAACATTGAAGACCGGCGGAAAGAGGCAGCCACGGCCAACAATCATTACTTTCCTCGTCTGGCAGCAGCACCTGCTCCATCAGCATTTGCCTCGCTGAGCTTTTCGTCGCCTTTAATTCTTTGTCTCCCGGTGGAATAAACTACATCCAACTATCGATCCTCACCATCATCAACAGACCTTTTGGGCGTGTTTTTCTTTTTCTTTTTTGATTCTTGGGAACCGCAGCACTAAGGCATCATAAGGCATCATCATCATTTGTCGCATCCTCAGCAGCTCTGTATTCGCTAGTTGAAGTTTATCACAAGGCTTTCTTGCGATTCCTCCCCAATTATGCGAGTCTCCAAGCTCGTCTCGGCATTGTTGCTTGGTACCGCCGTAGCTCTTGCACCAATCGAGATACTGGGCAACAAATTTTTCGACGAGAGCGGCAAACAATGGTTCATCAAAGGTATGCCAATCACCAAGCACCGTTTGGGCCAACATCCTTGGGACTGACGCAATCACAGGCATCGCATACCAATTGACACCAGGTTAGCCCAGCTTGTCTGAATGCACACTTACAAAGCCCACCGTCTAACACAGAAGCTTGTCCAGATGACCCACTGGTCGATACTGAGCAATGCACCCGCGACGCCAATCTCATGAAGACGCTGGGTACCAACGCAATCCGCGTTTACCACGTCGACTCTAGCGCAAACCATGATGGGTGCATGGCAGCCTTCGACAAGGCCGGTATATACACCCTCATCGACTTGGACACCTTTGACTCGTACATACTTCCTGTCAGTACTGTCCAGTCTCGACCCTTTTTCTGCTTGCGTACTTTTACTAACAACAGCTTCAGAATACTCCTTATTGGAACGAGACGCAGTTTAACGCGTACGCCAAGGTGATGGACAACTTTGAGAAATACGACAACGTTCTTGGCTTCTTTATTGGCAATGAAATCATTGCGCTTCCCACTCAGTCTCAGGTTGCCCCTTTCATGAAGGCTGCCGCACGAGATATGAAGGCCTACCGCGACAAGAAGGGTTATCGCAAAATTCCCGTCGGCTACTCCGCGGCAGACATTGCCGAATTGCGACCCATGCTTCAGGACTACCTGACTTGTGGCGGAAATCCCGAGGACAATATTGACTTTTTCGGACTCAACTCGTACGAATGGTGCGACCCAAACACGTACGAGACCTCGGGATACACCAACCTGCAAGCCATGGCCGAGAAGTTTCCTGTGCCCATCTTCTTCACCGAGACGGGATGCATCACCGGCCAAGGCCCGCGTACATGGGACGATCAGAACGCCATTTTCAGCCAGCCCATGGTAAATGACTGGAGCGGAGCCATGGTTTACGAATGGATTTACGAGGAGAATCGCTATGGCATTGTGTCATATGGACCCGAAGTCTCCAAGACCATCACCGCTGACGACGTGTACGATGGGTTTACCCGCAAAGGCACTCCAATTCCCAGGTCTCCCGATTTCCAGAATCTGCAAGCTAAATGGGCCACCGTTACTCCTGTAGGAGTGATGAAATTAAACTACAACCCGACTAGCGTATCTACCCGCGATTGTCCCAAAGCCACGGGTGGTTGGTTGGTGGACGGAAACGTCCGCCTTCCTACCCTTGGAGAGACGTTCAAGGGCAGCTTTTCCTCGAGTCCGACAGCATCAGCGACTTCGGGCTCAAGCACCAGCGCTTCCGCAGCGCCCACACAGTCTGCCAAGTCCTCGGCACCCGAGAGACCTTCGGGATCTGGCACCAAGCAAATTGCTGGCATGGCTGTTGGCCTGGTTGGCGTCATGATCTTCTTCACTGTGTGGATGTAACTGGCCACCAAATTTTTCTTCTTCTGTACATTTTGTGCAACACTTTTATGACGGACTGGATTATGGCTTATACCCCATTTTGCGAATACACGGAGGCTTCGTATTGAAGCAGGGCATTTTTCAAGGCGTTGATTGCAAGGGGGCGTACGGAGACTTGTTTCTAGACTTGCAAAGGGTCGATTAACGCCCAGGTTGGCTCTACATTTGCTTGAAAAAGAGGTGGTCATTAGGGAGGGCTTGTCGAATGATGGCTCCCTCGAAATTCAAATTCGTGGCAAGTGTGACGATGGAGATGCATTAATCAATAATACCCTATCAGAGAACAAGATGGAGAGGCGTTCATGGGAGACCTCGAACGGAGGCGGCAAGAGCCTCACCAACACAATATACATCGATTTTCAATCGCAATGTGCTGACCTTTTTCTCTTGATTCATGTCTTGGTATTCTTTAATCGACAAACTTACATCCGTTGTAGCTACCTCACAGTGTTTCTGCCAAGCAACCTGCAGCCAGAAGTTTAATAGCAACTGCCTCTCCAACTTCCCAGAAGAATTCGGCTTCAGAAGGAAGGAGAGCCTCGCTATCTTACGAGTCACACTGGGACAACTTGGCCTCTGGGACTACTACATGCCATGGTAACTCCTCATCCTTGGTTACATTGTAGATTTCTTTGCGTCTCCATTCAGCCTTTCAACATCGTCTGAGCGTCTTGAACAACCGAGGCATGCTGCTTACCGATTATTAGTATCCCTCGACAACCGAATCTTACTAGAGATAAGGAAACTCTTGAACGGCGGCGTCGGAAACATGGCCTTCCTTCTCTTCGGGTATAATCCTGTTCCTGACGCCACTCCCCAGAAAGCTCCGACAAAGACGACGCATGGAGAATCTGCGAAACACACAGAGGTTGGATCACACGGCGTCAGCATTCACCCGCCGAGATGGCTCACAATCAGGAACTTCATCTACCTCGTCATCCTAGGCTTGGTTACAACCGGTGTTGTCTTTCTGGCGGACTACATCCGAACCCGGACAGGTCACGAAGCGTTCATTGATCATTCCGTGCAACTTTTCTCGCCAGGCACCCCGACTGACGGGGGTTCCAAACCACAGGTATGTTTCTTTTTGCTATTATTGCATGTGTTCATGGATAGAATTTGTGCTTATGTTGTTTCTGTTTGCAAGTATATGGAGGTAGAAAAGACATCTGGAAGGCATTTCACTAGAAGTTCGACGGCAGCTACCACGAGCACGGCTGCATTCGACGACACGGGTCTCGAGATCGTCTTTCTGGTTACTGCCGGTACAAGCCTAGTCCTTGTTGAACTGCTCTGTTGAGTCTGTCTCGGTCGGGCCTCATAGGAGGTTTGCTCACTAGACCAAGGCACAAAAAGCTCACGCGATTCGATGGGTATTCCGCTTGGGAGGCATGGAAGAACCGGTGACTCGATGCCATGAGCCTTCGACCAGGTGGAAACATTTTGGCAAAACAGCTCTGTAAATAATTTTACTAATAATCACTCGGATGCGCTCTTCCAGCAGGTCAATGAAGTATTTCATGCTGCTGAGCATAGCTTTCTAGCAAACGGTTGAAAGTACGTAGAAGCGACAAACACTATTTGTGATGACTTTGCAACGATGACAATGCTGCTTCATTTCTTCTTCAGTTCCAGGTAGCCGGGTGGCACATTCGGTGGCAAGTCTCTCACTTGGCTTCGTTTGAGGGTCTGGTGCCCAAGAGCTGGAAAAGGCCGAAGAGTCTTGATAGGAGGCGTTGTTGATCAGGGAGCTACTTTCCCAATTAGGATGTGGGCAGGTTAGACAGCTGTCGATGCTTGAAGCAAACGGGAGAGGGCTGAGACCCTTGGCCCCTGGAGCCAATCAAGATACTGTATCTTGGAAGAGCAGATCAATGATTTGAATTGATTTTCTTGTTGCCATTTGTTTGGAGGGTGGCCTCATGTCATGCTGTCACAACACTCTTGACTCGTGGCACGGACTGTTCATAGATTGAGGAGCGTTTCGTTGTGGACGGGCTGCCTAATGTCAGACCCTTGAGGTATAGTTGGTAGCGTGTCTATATATCAACGGATCGAAACCTTTTCTCTCTGCGATTGTCCACGGCCAGAGGGGAGAAGGCGAGGGATTGGGAGGGAGTCTATCATCCCACCTTTTATGCCGACTTCTCAGATCCATAATTGTCGTCGATCTGTTTTCTGAATTGATCAAAACACAGGACTAGAAATTGAGGCTGGTTCTATCACGCTGCTGCACGCCTCATTTGACAGGGCGAGGAAAGTGAGGCCCGAAGGATGTTTTGAAGACTACTAACAGAGACTCGTGACGGACGACGCTGCTGTGCGGGAGTCCGGACATGAGCCTGCGCAGCGCCCCGTCACCAACGTCCAAGGATCCAGTTCAATGGGCATTGGCTATCACGGATAGATACTTTCTATTATTGAGACTTGGACGTGACGTTATTGGCGATATGTGAAGTTCGATATCGCAGGCCGAGTGAGCGGGGTGTTTCACGTTTGGGGACACCGGGTAACGTTTTCGGCGTTCAGTGGAAGCCATTTTTCTTTTTGGTTCTTGGTGATCGGGACCAAGGGTTTCTGCTAGAGAAATGTGGGGATCAAAATATCATGGAACGGAATTCTGTACATTATATGCGGCAGCTTCCTCGGGAGGGGGCAGCCTGTCGGCAACCGGGGGAATAACAAGTTGACGACGAACCGAAAAGACACTTGAGTATTTGACTGACTTGTGCTTGGCTTGTGCTTGGCTTGTGCTTGTCACCCTTCATCCCCCCCTCCCCCTCGTCCCTTTTTGTTGGCGGGACGGTGACGTGATGAATCGTGGCTTTGGGTCCGAGAAGATCAGATTGAAGCATAGTCCTGCGAAAAAAAGGCAAGAGGATGCAGATGGCAAATTCATACGGCAAACTGCCGTGATCAGAGGGGTGTGGGATGTGGGATGTGGGATGTTGGATTTTGTTAAATGCCCGAGCGGCGAGCACACTCCTATGATTCGCGAATCTTTCTTCTTCTCTCCAGATTTTCCTCTCCCCCTTGACCCAGAGGGCGATCTGATCACCGGACCTGCGACTACATACAGCCCACGTACATCCACAGGCACAGGTCAAACTTTCTAGTAGTGTCTGCCACTGTTTCGTTCGTCCCTGTTTTTTGCTTTCCCTCTCTTGGTTCCGTTGGATACTGCGGTAGGGATACATGGACGTCTGGTTCGTCTTCTCTGCCAAAAACACCACCAAGTGAAGTGGACCTGAAGACGAGTATCCCAAGCCAGAGAGAGCCGCAGGAACCTGACTTGTTGGACTTGGCAAGATGGTGGAAAGAAGCGAAGCGAGGGAGTAGAACGAGAACGAGGACTCCATAGACAATTATGACCGTAAGTCCACTTGTTCTCTGATGTGTAGCACAATTGATGTCCTGATGCGGCACAGACGCTCTCACCTCCTACACCTGCTTTTGCTTTTAAGACTCCATACGCTCAATTTTGTTTCCTTTCTCTATTCTCTCCCTCGACCTTTGCATAGCAGCAGCGGCGCCGTGGCATAAATCTGCAGAAACCGACATACTCCGACATGCTGTGCCTTTTCGGCTGTTGCGATGACAATATCAGCCGCAATACCAGCAGGCGATTCCCTCGACCCGGGACCGGCCAACAAAAATGTGCGGCTTGTCCAATGAATGATCAGACTGGTCAGCTTTCTCGGCCAGTGGCCGGCTGTCCTGTGGAGACGGACGGAGTCTTGGACCGGAGCTCTCACCCTCTTCTCACGCCTCGGGGAGTGGGGGAAGGGGAAGGACGGGATGAGCTTTCTGAAACATAGCTCGATGCCACGCCGTGGAGCCAATCGGTGATTGCTGTCGCCCTTGCATGCACCCGTTTTTCTCCCATTTCCAACTCCATCTCCCGCCTCCTGCGCCATGCTAGTGAATCAACCTCATCAGTCACCACCTTTCCGCACGTTCCCTTGAAACAAGGCCAGCAGGCCCCTTCTCGTCGTATGGAATTCGGCTCTACAATGTACTGCCAGGGATCGTGACGCTCTGGCCTCACCTTCTCGACGACGCTATTGTGCCATCGTGGGGTTGTGCCGGCCTCGATCTTCTACACCCTCTCCAGCCCAGTGTCAGATCTTACCAAGTCAAGGCCAGCCAAAACAGAAAGGCCGACGCAAGTACCAGTTGCATACAACACACTGCACGACAATCTGTGGAACCGCTGTCATGGGTCTCCGTCCAGGGACATCCAAGCTGACGCAGTAAACGCAGGACATGCCACTTCAAGTGACAGTGCGGGAGGGAGGGCTGTCAATACCGTCGTTCCTTTCTATGCCTATTTAGGTTGGTTCGTTTCGTTCCTTGAACTGAGCTTACACGAGGAACGAATCGATTGCTCCAGGACAGGAGCAAGTGCCCGCATCAAAGTCAGCTCGAGTCAGAGCAAGCTGACTGGTCGTTCACTTCGCACTTTCACACTCCTCTGTTGGTTTGGGTGCTGTATCATTCGTTCCTTCTAAGTGGGATCTCACACTATATTTGCTATATCACGTCTCACTCGCTCCCTTCCCCGGGACGCAGACCTCCCGGGCTGGGCCTGGATCGTGCTCGCGGCCTCCTGCCCTCTTTCTTACCGTCCCGTCCCTTGCCATGTCGTCTTCATGGACACACAACCCCGGCCCAAAGCCTCGATACGCGAAGGGGATCATGAGGGAGAAGCGAAAGCAAGCAGGACAGAGCTTGCCCCGCCTTGCCGGCATCCGCCGACCTGATGTCTGTCCCATTAGCTTTCTGCGGCTTATGTTATGGCTGCCAGCCTCACAAGCCACGAAAAAAACCACGAGCCGTGATGCGGTACGTGATCATAAGAAACCAAGCCCGTCCACCTGCAGTACTTCCTGGCCGGGAGCATGATGGGTCACATACAAGTCTATCCGGGCACCCCTCCCCCCCTTTCATGCCGCGTGGTTCTGTTGCATCGGTGGGCCGGTATTTACATCCTCTGTCGCACACGCACTGTCTCTCTACGCTTCATGTCATTATCTGTGGCCGAGCCAGTTCTTTCTCGTATTGGATGAAGCTGAAGCAGACCGCGGCTGAGCAAGACGCGGGTTGCGCATGCGCATGCAGAAGAGGCGGTCTACTTTCCTTGTCCCGTTGCAGGCCTGCGCACGCGCGCACCAAACATAACATCTCGAAGCCGGGGTTTTGTTCTGTTGTGTCCTTGTGTCTTGTTTCCTTCGTATTATACAAAGGTATAAGCAGCCCGCCCACCCTCACGCACCACACATACCCCATACCAGATCCTCGAGAGGCCTGAGTGTCAAACTTTTACCTCCTCTTTCTTTTTAGGATGCCCGTGGCTCATCCACCTCGTGTTCCTTTCGTCTGCATACCCCATACATACACATAAGCTATGAGTCCGCGAGCAACGTAGGAAGCTGCGCAGAAGGGAGAACAATATGTCGCTCAAGTTCTACCAGACTTCCGACCTGGAGCGGCCATGGCGTCCACCAGTCATGGACGAGGACTGCCGGCGCTACCGCCGCCGAGCACAGCGGACCGGCAAGTGGATTCCGCCCCAGCTTGCCTTTGAAGAAGTTATCAGGAATAACACAGAATCGGTGAGCAATATCCCGTCGGCACACCTGACCTGAAGGCGAGGAATACCAAGGAGAAAGTTACTAACAGTGATACTTGACGTCTCAGCCATGCTCACTAAACGACTTTGTGGACTACCTAGTCTATGTCGAACAGGACGCGGAACCCCTGCAGTTTTTCCTATGGTACTGCGGCTACGTCCATGAGTGGACGACCCTGGCGCCTGAGCAACGTGCTCTTGCGCCGCGTTGGGATCCGGACCGCGGCAGGAAGCTCACCTCCAAGGAGAGGAGGGCCAAGAATTCGAGTAAAGTCAGCAACATCCTCGAGATGCTCGACGAGACCAGCGACTACGCTAAAGCCAAGGCGGGAGGCAACCATACGCGCGACGCATCGTCGGCAACGAACTTTTCGCACCCCAGAGTAACTATTCTCAGGAATGATGAGATGGAGGAGGAGGAGGAGGAGGAGGAGGAGAAGGGAACAGGTTCACAAGGTGAGATCACCAGCTGATACTCCATGATGTGTGAGCCCATCACACAAGACGAGATCTGATTACCACTGTTGGAAATCGAAACCGGTTCACTAACACCCTCCCCAGCACCAGCAGCATCACAACCCTTCCGCGCCGACATCAACGCCATAACGAAGCACTACATCCACTCAACCGCTCCGCGCCGCCTAAACCTTACAAAGGACGACCGCAACGCCGTCCTGACAGCAACGGCATCCACGACGCACCCCTCGGCCCTCCTCCCGGCCTTTGAAAAGGTCGAAGCCCTCCTGCGCGGCAAGCTCCATCCAGATTTCATCCGGCATGCCATGGCCAATGCAAACCGCGCCGCGACACACCTCCTCCGCCTCCTCGGTTTTGTGTTGATCATCCTGGGCCTGGGCCTCGACGTCGCACTCATCTTGTCATCCTTCTCGCGCTACTACCGCCTCCTCTCCATGCCCCTCCTCTTCTCGGGTCTCGCCATCCTCGTCGCGGCCCTCGACGGCGTCTCCTTATCCCTCCATCTCGCGCGCAGACGCCACATTCGGCCCTGGGAGGTGCCCGACCTAGAGGCCGGCACGGGTGCCGCGAGGAAGCACGACAGAGTAGCCCACCGCCGCGCTGCGACGAGCGAGAGTGTTGCCGGCGCCGTCGATCCGCTTCGAAAACCCGCACTCTCGACGCTGGGCCCGGAGAATAACCTGTTCTCGGGTGAGGAGTGGGTTGCCGCATATGGGCGCCGGTGGCTTTGGCGGCGGGTGTTTGAGCGCAGCCGGGCGAGCCGGAACTTGCACCTGCGGATCCTGCAGGACGGTGTCGTCGCGGGTGCGGTGCTTTGGGCTTCGCTGGCAACGATTGGGTTGGGGGTCGGGTCGGTGTTTATACCCTCGTATCATCTGTTTTGATTTATGGATGGGGAATTGGTGGGGAGGCATGCATGTACACATGCATTTTCAGATACATATATACCTTGAGTCCATGGCAGTCTTTTCTGGGGGGTTAGTGTAGAACCTCAAGAGGTTGGCTGGTGATCCGCACATTAGATCTGCGGGTCTGCGGCATCATATAATGAGTAAGTATGAAGATTTTAATACCAGATTTTGATGACCTATACTCTTGAAGGGTTGCCATTGTTAAAGTGCTCAGCACTTGTTCTAACTGAAGCAGAAAAGGGACGCAGGAAGTAGCAAAAGGGTCGAGATATCGCATCATGCTTCACAAACTACACCTCACACCCTCACCCCCGCATTACTTTCACGTCTTGACTTCAAGTTGTGACTGTGAAGCGTGGCGAAGATTCAAACCTGTGCAACGCCTCACATACTTTCCAAGGTATCGAATTTGAATTACGGCTAAAGGGACTCTCTTATTTTCATTTCCCACAACAAAACTACGACTTGCCCGCTGTCTGTTGTTGATGGTCATAATAAAGCTCCTCCGCCGTCGTTATGCACTGCATATTCGCGCCGAGCTTGTTCATCGTCTCCAACCACTCATCGTATCTGGGGTTCCTTCGTTAGTATACAGCTATACAGCTACTGGAATACTGTAGGGGAAGTTGACTTACTCGTCAGAGTCGAATACGATACCGCCACCTAATTGCGTCAAAAGTCAGCATATGAAATGTTCCCATCGCCAAAGGACTAAAAAAAAAAAAAGGAGGGGTAGACAGGGGGGGCGGGAGACCAAGACCCAAAAAAGACAAAATGCTCACCTGCTTGCAAATATGCCACGCCGTCCTTGACTAGCATCGTCCGCAGCGCAATACACGTATCCATGGCACCCTCCACCTCCTCGCCCTTCTCATCAACACCGCCGTACCCGAAATACCCTACTGCGCCAGCGTAGATACCCCTCTTCTCCTTCTCCAGCTCCGCAATCAGCTCCATGGCGCGCACTTTTGGCGCGCCCGACACCGTGCCCGCGGGGAAAATGCTCCGAAAGGCGTCGAAGCGCGTCTGACCCTCCCTCAGCACACCCGAGACCTGCGAGACGAGATGCTGGACGTGGCTAAACTTCTCCACGACCATGAGGTGGTCCACGCGTACCGTGTACGGGTCCCCGACGCGGTTGACGTCGTTGCGCGCCAGGTCGACGAGCATTACGTGCTCTGCGCGGTCTTTCAGGGAGCTGCGCAGCTCGTCGGCGAGGCGCTGGTCTTCCTCGGGGGTCTTGCCGCGTTTCACGGTGCCCGCGATCGGGTGCGTGATGACGCGGCCGGCTTCGGATTTCACGAGGAGCTCGGGGGAGGCGCCCACGATCTGGAAGTCTTTGCAGTTTACGTAAAAGAGGTAGGGGGACGGGTTCACCGTCCGGAGGTGGCGGTAGATGTTGAAGGGGTGCAGGGTCGTGGGGCGGGCGAAGCGTTGCGAGGGGACGGCCTGGATGATGTCACCCTTTACAATGTGTTTCTTGAGCTCCGTGACGTGGGCCTCGTAGCCCTTTTGACCGACGTTGGAGGTGTACTCCTGGTGGAGCTTGATGGGCTGCTGCTCGGGGATGGGGATATCGGGGGCGTTGAGGACGGTGACGAGATCGTCAATGGTTTGCGTCGCCTTCTGGTACTCGGCCTCGAGTTGCGCGGCATCCTCGGGGACGTGCAGGTAGGTGATGACCTTGATGACGCCGTAGAAGCGGTCAAAGGCGACAATGGTGTCGAAAAGCATGAAGAGGGACTCGGGGATCTGGAGGACATCCTTCATGGGCCGCGCCGTCTTGGGCTCGAAGTAGCGCACGCAGTCGTAGCCTACGTAGCCGACGGCGCCGCCGGCCATGGGCGGTAACTGTAGGCCCGGAACGTGGGCGACTACGTGCTGGGCCAACTCCGCCTCGAGGGCCGGAAGGGGATCGCACTCGGGGCCATGGCTGGGACCCGTGACGAGGACTTTGCGGGGCCCGGCACCGACGAAGCTGTAGCGGCCGACTCGTTCTGTGGCGGCGCTCTCGAAGAGGAAGGAGTAGTCCGAGTCCTTGTGGTGGGCTGAGACCTTGAGGTAGGCGGCGGACGGGGTGATGAGGTCGGAGGAGATCTGGCGGTAGACGGGGACGAGCGTGGGCTTCTTTGCGGCGTTGGTCGCGGCCGGGGTGGCGAGGATGGACCTGACCGTCTCGAGGGACGGTACGACTGCGCGCTGTGAACGATGCGGGCATGTCAGTTTTGCATGCTTCATGTGGCGGCCGACCGAGGTCAATTGAGGAGCAAGCAAGACTTACCGGTCCCGACATTCTGATCCGGTCCGTTGGCGAAGCTGAGGATGTGTCGGTAAGGCGTGCGTGGAGAGTTGTTTTGGTTTGTATCTGAGTCACCGCATCCAAAAGGTTGGACTTGTATGAATTATTTAGCTTCCGAAGCGTGGAGGGGTTACATAGGTAGTAAAGGTAAGGTCCGATAAAGCGGAATTTGGCTGCCGTTGCGCTTCGATAAGATACGAGACAAGGCGTTGCCATTAGTGGCACCTCCGCTGCGTGAGCGTCAAGGATCAGTGACACATTGGCCCCCACCCACCAGCCCATTGTTCCGCCAATCTGGTCTAGATTGATGACCTGAAGGAGTAGGAAAGCTCACTCCCTGGTATGGATTCTCTGTGTGGCAAAAGCATGAGGCCGAAGTAAACTGCTTTTCGGCACTAGATGACGATATTTTGTGTACACGAATGAGTTGCATTTTTGCTATACACTAGTCACTAATTATATCGCGGACCTTTCAAGTACTTTGCTGACCAGTGGCCCCATTTCTTTCCGTCCCGCCTCCATTCCCCGCGGGTTTCTTCTCGGGGTTGGAGGGTATCAGCTCTCGACAGACAGCGCCTTGACGCCCACGAGCTTCGCCTCTTTGCCCTTCCCGTCTGTCGTGACGAGCCAGTATTCCGTCCGGACGCCGCCCTTTGGCACCTTGTAAACTCTGACGTCGTTGCCCTTGCCCGCCTTGCGGACCGCTTCGATGACGTCCTTGTAGTCGCCGTTCGAGTCCCAGTCCACGGGGTCGAGGAGCTCCACATCCGCGTTCTCGGCGTCGGGGTGCTCGATCAGCTGCGCGAATTCGACTGCAACGTGGTTTATTAGTCACTGTATACCCCATGGAACGCAACGTCCCCTAAAGCAGGGCAGAAACTGAAGGCAAGGCGTCGATCGCCAAATCACCTTCGTCCGGCAGGCCCTTGCCAGCCTCATCCCACTGCAGCGCGACACCGACAAACGGCTCGTCCGCGTCGGAAATGTACACTTTGTCCTCCTTCAATACAGCCTGGATGGCCTTTGGTACCTCGGCGCCCTTGTCCTGCGCCTTGAACTCCTTGCTCTTGCTGCTGGCCGTCGCGGCGTACCCCTCGTTGGGGTCCTGATTCGCCTTGTCCAGGAACGCCGCGTAGTCTGCGTCAGACATTTTCAAGTTTGCAAATGTCGAGAACTTGCTGGTGGTAGCCTGACGAGATTGGAGGAGTCTGCTGGTGCTGGTGCCGCTGTTTGGTGCGAGATTCGGTCTCAGTGTGAATGAGTTGCGCACTTTGAGGGGTGTCGTAGGTGAAGAGGGGGTCCGTTGACAGAGATTTCGATACAGCGTTCGTGGGATAGTCGTCTTCATTCCCTTCTGATGGGTTGCGGGCGATCTGAATAGCGTGCTGAGGGGTGCTGCGGTCGCGAATTTGGCTCGCAGGAAGCTGCACGCCATGGTTGGGTACTGATGGAATGACGCAACAGGCCGGCTAGCTACGCCTCACGTCGCTCGCTGTTCAGACCTTGCCGCCCCACCATTTCGGCAATGGCTGGCTGTCATGAACACTAAGCACCCACATTTTTGTATAAAATTCATGCCATTCTGTAGGCCTGGACGGCAGCGTCACTCAAGCATTTTGTCACCACATCGAATCATAATTCACAAGCCACAAGAGGGGTTACAAGTGGGTGATCATCTAGGTATCATTGGTTTGACTTTTGAATTCTCGGCACTCATTTTAACCTCAAAGGTGTCCCAAACCATCCGAAAAGTAACGTGAACCCTCTACACCGATGCCATGACCATGATACAATGAAATTGAAGAACCCATTTACTGAGCAGCAAGGTCCTTCTTGAGGGTACCCTGGTACTGCTTCTTCTCCGCCGGGGTCTGGAAAGCACCGTGTCCGAACTCGGACGAGGTATCGATCCACTTGAGGTCGATCTTCTCGAGGGCCTTTCTCGAGGTGTGAGTGAACATGGACTTGCGGAGAGTCATGACACGCTTCTTGGTACCGGGAATAGAGCCCTTAACCATGACGAAGTCGTTGTTGATCTCACCGTAGCGGACGAAGCCACCGAGGCTGCGGATGTCAGTAATTGGGATATAAATCCGGGGAGAGCAGAAACATACGGAGTGATGGTCTTCTTGGTGACATCAATCTCAGTGGAGGCGCTGTTATCGGAACCGGCCTTGCCAATGCGGTAGACCTTGTGGTTGACGGAAGTACGGTGGTGGTATCCGTTCTGACCGGCACGGGCGACAGTCCACTGGACGTGGGAAGGATGCCAGGCACCGATACAGGCGACCTTACGCAGACCCTTGTGGGTCTTACGGGGAAGCTTCTTGGTACCCCAACGGGCGGTGACACCCTCGAATCCGTGACCCTTGGTAACGGCGATGACATCGATCATCTCGTTCTGCTCGAAGATGGAGTCGACCTCAACGGGCTTCTCGAACAGACCGTAGCCGAAGTCGACCTTGTCGGCGACGGAGCCACCGTTGATCTGGATCTCCATGAGGTGGGCCTTCTTCTGCTTGATGGGGGTCTTGCGGGGTTGGGTGTGGGCGAGGACACGGACGACGGTGCAGTACTTCTTGATGCGCTCGATCTCGCGGGTGATGGAGGCGCCAGAGTTCTCGGAGTGCTGCTTGGCGTACTTGGTGAAGGCCTTCTTCTTGGACTTGTACCAGTTCTTGTAGAAGCGGCGGCGGATCTCGTCGCTCAAGTGCTCGGCCCAGACGGTGGTGAGCGAGCGCAGGCCGCGGGGGGTCTCGATGTAGCCCACAAGACCAACAACGATCAACTATAGAGTTGTTAGCCATAGGCACAGAGCCAAGCGGGCTGCGTTGGTAGTACAGGTGGGGTGTCAATGATGGAGACGGCCTCGACGACCTCCTTCTTGTTGGCCTTGGCACCGGGACGGTCGAGGTCGCGAACGATCGTGGTCATACCGGCCTTGTAGCCCATGGTGGCCGTAAGGTGGACGGGCTTCTTGGCGTCATCCTTGGGGAAGCTGTGGAAAAGATTGTCATTGTCAGCACCTGTATCTTCAAGTTCCCTTTCCGGACCGCAGGCTCAAAAAAGAGTCGCCCAAATGTGGTGGACAAAACTTACGACTTGACCTTGCCGCGGTGACGGGCGGCACGCTTGCGCGGCAGGTAGGCCAAAGACTGAGCAATGTTAGCAGTAATTACGATGATTGTCGAGAGGTGGAACTGACGCCGTGTCTGGGTGCCTCGTACTTGCGGTGCGACATCTTGATGATTGACCTGGAGGTTAGTTGACGGGTTCAATCGAGAGGAGTGACGATTAGGAAATTCCTCGAAATCGGGATAGCTGAGGCTGCAAAAATGTCGTGTGGGCGGATTCCCTCCAGGGAGACACCACCCTAATCACGTGAGCAAAAAAAAAAAATGAGCCACTTGTATTTTTGCACTTTTGCTTCCTGCTTGGTCTGAGCTTTTTTCCCGAGCTCCATATTTACGCATTGTAATTACGGTACGTACCTGAAGACCGGGCGGCATCTCATCATCAGGTCAATTACTCTTCTCCAGCCTAGACATTAGGCAAATAAAGTAGGCAGACGACAGATTGGTCGGCCTAATTGAGGAATCACTTGCGTCCTAGCATGTTGAATTAAACGCGCCACGTTCAGCTAAATGGGTGCCATATATTGTGAATTCATGCAAGCAAGTCCAGATGCAACACTACTTTTTCTCTTCGCAAGCCACCGTAGTGCCTAGTCACGCCAGTAGCGAAAACTCATTCTTGAGACAGGACAAGTATGAGGAAGGAAATGGTATACACAATAAGAGAACACAGGATCCCTCTAACAGATAAAACAAAGCAAAGCACGTTAAAGCCGTTGATCTATTAAGTCGACTCAACCTTAGGCGTAGGCCCCATCAAGCCGTTGATGCTTGCGCTCGTCGGCGTCTTGGTCTCCCCCGACGCCGGAGCTGGACCCGAGCCGTTCGTGGTGGCAACAGCGCCCTTCTTCTCATCCTCACCGCTATCATCATAATCCTCATCAACATCCATTTTTCTAGCTGCACGTTCAGGCTCGCTTGGCTGCGGAGGCCGGGGAGCGGGAGTGTGTTCAATAGGCGGCCGTTCCTCGGCGGGGTACTCCTTGACGCCGGGAGCGGGCCCGGAAGCAGGTCCAGGTCCGTTCTGGGCTCCGTCATGGAGAATATTCTGCATCGGTGCAGCGGCAGACTGCATCGGCGGGAGATGGTTGGTGGGCATAGGGTGGCTGGGTTGGTGGTGCGCTGCCTCTGACGGGTGGTACCCATCATTGGCATGGCGCTGCTCCTCGCCCCTCCGAATGTCCTCCGCCCTTCTCTGATCATCCGCTCTCCGCTGGTCTTCGGCACGACGTTGGTCCTCAAATCGGCGAGCCTCTGACGAGTTGCGCCGGTACTGATCACGGGATCCGGGGGGAGTCGACGGGCGCCGAGGGCGGACGTCGTCAAGCCTGGCTCGGTTCTCATCGTTGGCCGGTCGCTTGTGAGAGGACTCCTCCTCCCACTCGCGCATACGCTTGGGGCCCACGGAAGGAGGACGGTCGTGCTCATTGCGCTGCGATGCGGGGTCTGCGGCGATCGAACCCGGAGGAGGTGGAGGCGGGACACTAGACTCCATGGGACCGGGAGTGGGTCCATCGGGGTGATGGCTGTACGGCGGTGGCGGAGGAGGCTGGTGTTGAGGGTACGCCGACTTGGGCGAGGGCATGCGGTTGTCATGCATGGGCCTCTCACCAGGGCGGGGGCTGTTGGTGCCGCGGAAATGAGGCGGCTGGTTGGGAGGACCATTGGGGCCCACGTTCATAGGAGGCATTTGAGCAGAAGACGGCTGGGTGTAGTTGGGGTTGATGGTGCGCGGTGCAGACGTGGGGGGACCCTGAGGCTGCTGAGGCGGCTGTGGCGGCCCCACGTAGTGAGACGGCGGACTAGCCATGCGACGAAGCGGCTCGGGATACGGCGGGCGACCACCGTGTTGCTGCTGCTGCTGCTGTTGCTGCTGCTGCTGTTGTTGTTGCTGCTGCTGCTGCTGTTGCTGCTGCTGTTGCTGCTGCTCCTGTCTTGGGCTAGGCTGTCGCGGCATGGGAGGAGCGGGGCCGCGGAACTCGCCTCGCTGCTCGTACGGGTTGGGTGGCTGAGGAGGCGGGTTGATGTCCGCGAGCCGACCCCAGCCGTTGCTTCCAGGACCGCCGGGTCCAGGAGGCGGAGGAGGCTGTTGACCTTGCTGCTGTGACTGAGGAGCAGAGCTTCCCCACTGGGGGGCCGGGGGGCCGACCTGGTAGGCTTGGGGATGAACATCGGCTGGCTGGGGTGCACTGGGAGGCTGTCCTCCGTTGGCGCCGCCGTTTCTCAACAACTGCAGACGAGCCTTGATGTGAGGGTTCTGAGGGTCGAGCTCTGCAGCGCGCTGGTACGCGTCAAGCGCGTCGCTGATCTGGTTGTTGCAAGATTCGTACTGGAACTGTCAGGATCGCTGTTTCTACGCTTGATCTTTGCAAAGTATTGCACTTACCAACGTGCCCAGGTCATACCAGACCTCGGAGATAAAGGGGTTGAGCCGAATCGCACGGGAGTAGGCGTCGAGGGCGTCGCGGTATTGGTTGATTTGGTAGTACAGGACTCCAATGGAGCACCAGAAAGTCGGATTCCTTCCATCGCGGTACACGGCCTGTTGGTATGCCTCATAGGCTTTGGGGTACTTTTGCTGAGACATGTAGCAGCGACCAAGCAGGTACCAACTTTGCGCGTCACCTTGGTCGGCGGCGACGGACTTCTCCAAGAATTCGATAGCTCGCTCTTGGCTCTGGAAGCTACTGCTCTGCTGGTGATGAAGCCAGCCCAGCTGCTGCAGGACCTTCGCATGACTAGGATCGCGTTCCAAAACTCTTTGGTACGCAGCCTTGGCACTATCATACTGTTGTTGCAAGCGTTAGTTTGGACTTTGCACAACACTAAGAGGTGGCGACTTACATCCTTCTGCTGCTCGTGAACGTGGCCGATCTGGAACCAAATGTCTTCCTCGGTGAGGGGAGGGGGCGGGGAGTTGACGATGTACTTGAAGCACTCTAGACTCTGGCCGTACTTCTGCTGTTGCTTGTATATTATTCCAAGACGGAAGTAAATTTCGTTGGCCTTTTCGAAATCTGGCTGCATCTGCATGACCTGCGAGAAGGCCTCCTCGGCATGCTCAAGAGACCCGTACCTGTCGTAGAGGATACCAATGCCATACCAAAGCTTAGGCTCCTGTGCTGTATTAGTAATTGAAGAACCCAGAGAGCCGGAGGCAGCGCTACTAACCCTAGGGCTCCTCAAGTTGACCAAGGCAGACTGATATGCGGCATAGGCTTGCTGCAAATCGTCCATCATGAGGTAGCAGTGGCCTGTGGGTAGTTAGCACAAGTCGCATTGGTTGGGCGCGAGACGGGGACTAGGTACGCACCCAGGCTACCCCAGGCCTCGCCATTGGTGTTGTCGATTTTGAGTATTGCTTGTAGGTAATCAACTGCCTTGTGGAACTCCTCACGTGTTCGCAGGATCAAGCTGATGGCATTCATCGCCGCGACCGACTGCGGGTTTGCTTGGAGGGCGCGATCGTAAGCCTTCATGGCCTCCTCGAGGTTACCAAGAAGCTCAGCGAAGCTGCCTACATGATTTGTCAGGATGCACTGCGCACGTTTATGATCGCGATGTACTTACCAATCTGCATCCAGACAGCTTCGTTCATGAGGAGGATTTGTCGCGAAGGTGCATAGTTCTGACCTTGCTGCATACCCGGCGGCGGAGGGGGCCCAGGAGGACCGCCATGCTGTTGCCCCTGCATGGCCATGGTCGGCGAAGGGTGGTGGTTGGCCATTGTGTTGGGAGACGAGGCGTACTAGGTGCGCGTGCTCCGGTGGGTGCGTCGAAGAATGTCTGATGATCGCGCAAAGAGTCGCTGGATGCCAACAGCAACCAGGTCGCAATGACAGAAGGTAAGATGATTTGTGGAAGAGAAAGATTCGCGGCGCGAGGTCGTCAAACCTCAGTTTGCTGCGGTTGGAATATAGTTGGTGGCTTCCAAGGGTGCGGTTGTTGCGACGATTCGAACGGATTGAGGTTCGACGTGCAACCCGTCAACAGGAGGCTGGGCGAGAAAGTCTGAAGCGACGACACGCCAAAGCTACAGAAAAGTCAAACAAGAAGACGAGGGTGATGAGGTGATGCGGAAGGGCGCAGAAGGCCGCCGAGGCAGCACAATGATGATGTTTTGGGTAAAGAAGGGATACGAGACCCGACAGCGATGGATCGAAGCGCCCCCGTTGTAGCTCAGGGCGAAGTTGGGGAATTGGAAAAGAAGGTGGGAGGGAAGTTGGGAGGCTGCGAGAATAGGTTCCATCACTCTCCCAAACTCACCTAACCCTCGAGAGGTACGTACTCTTTTACCCTTCCGTTCCTTTTCTTTTACTTTGGCAACGGCATGGGGTCGGCAGAGCTGATCCATAGCGAGCGAAACGAGACGATGGCGACCAGGGGTGTGGGGTGTCCCATTAGGATACATGCTGCTGCCGGGGTGAAAGACGGGGCACGGATGGAGAACAAACCAGCCCATCTCATCTGAAAAAGCAACTTGGCTAGCGTCCCTTTAGATGGACCCGATACCCACGGTGCCACACCCACGCTTCTCACGCTTCATCTGTGGACGCTCACGCCCATCCGCCCAGCCCATGCCCATGCCCCTGTCCACGTCCACGTCCACGTTCACACGTACACGCTGCCAGGCCCAGGTACGGAGTACAAAGTACAGATAGATTTCATGGAGGCGGGCAGCGGGCACTCCCACTGAACGCAATGTCGCCCCTACTCCCTCCCCTCCTTCTCCTACGGCTGGCTACCTAATGGATATACAGGGCCTCTTGGTTGCTTGGCTCCTGCAGCTCCGAAATGGGGCGCAGAGAGGTGGATAACGTGCCTTGGCTTACTATGTATGGAGACGTCGACCTCGCTGCGAAAATCTGAGGTAAAGATGTGGGTGCGGATGATGCCTCTGCGAGTCTAGCAAAACACATCTTGCAGACAAACCCGATCCCTCCCCCTTTTTTCATTGCTCCTGCAAAGTACGAGTCGGTCGTTTGTCATCAGTTGCACCAAGACGTGAGGTGGCTACAAGAGCCGAGCCCCAGGGAGCGTGATACTTTTTGAGGTAAGCTACCTTACTCTCGTATAGGTGAGCCGCGTTCGGCGTTTGTCCTTTCGACTCTCCTCAAACTTGGCAGTGTGGCGGCACTCAGTGGGACTCAACGCTTCTCATTCACGCCGCGGCACGGGAATCCAGGCCTGACACCTTGTTTAGATATCGTCAAAACTTGCTCCCCAAGACCCCAACGGTCGGCGATGGGTGTTGCAAGCCTACCGATAACCCGACAAAATCCAAGGCAAAAGCTTCAAAGAGTCTACTAAGTCCTCGAAATCGGTCAGAAAAAACGCACTCAATTGTGTGCATCGCATGCTGCAGCGTAACGTGATGCAGCCTTAGACCAAGCTTTGCGAGGGTTGATGCCGTTCTCACAATATCATGTTTCTGCACTCTGTGCCGGCAAAGAGACACGGTGCGATCCGGCGGCAGCGCATGCTGTGGTAGCTCAGAGACAGAGGGAATAGACTCCTTGGAAGCGTAGAAGTGTGCGGGTATCCTCAAATCGGACTGCAATGTTCTGTGTCTTGGTAAACAACTATTGTTGGCAGTGTCTGTACCCTGAAGCATGGCACATCGAGGGTGATCTACAGACAAAGAGCGTCAGCGACCGCCCAGTTGGACATGCCATCCGCAGCCAGTTTGAAACAAGAGACAGCCATGTCGCATCCCACCGCGGCGCCATCCTCTCTCCCAGTCGCTGCAGCGGAAGAACTCCGAGGATATGGGTCTCGGGTTCTGCCTGAGGCATGAGTTCAAGCCAGCGAGCACGATGGTCGGAAGAGGCAGTCAACTGTCAGATAGCTTCAGTGCTCCCGTACGGACCTTCTTGAGTCGTAACCAAGCCTCAGGTGATAAAGGTGGGCGAGGATTGGATTCGACAGGTAAGGTACGTAAAAGATCAACCGAAACGCCTGTCAGAGAAGGGAGCGAATCATCAGAAACAACACAGTAAAAGAGATAAGCCACGCACCAAAATAATAAGATGATGGAATAAACCCCCTCAAAAAAGGGGAAAACGCTGCGGTTGAAGGCCGCCGCCGCTAAACTGCATTACGGCACATCCCACGTGTCTGGAGTTCCAGGTGGTCACCTCATCATTCACCTCAGGTCAGGAAGGTTAATATGCACCGAAGGGTAGGTAGCCTTTCCCAGCCCTTCCCCAGGGAAGTGCCCCTGAGGTGACGGGAGGCATAGAGTACCATTCACCCATCACCCTCCCAGCCCGGCTCTGTGGTGTCACTGGTGTGTCTGGCCGCTCGGGCTGGCTGGCTGACTTAGCTGGCTGGGCTAGGCTGTGCCCAGGGCAGGTGAGTGCATGGCTGGTGACCCCCTCTTCCCTCCAAGCTCCAAGATCCTGATCGGGGGAGTGGATCGCACCGTCGAAGAAATGCCAGAAGCCAAAACCAACACAAGAAAAGACGAACTTTGAGTTTGGTTCATGTCATCGCTGCAACCGCTGCATTCATCCACCCAGGGCGCCGATGTGACTTCATCCGTGCCGCAACTGCTCACATGCTCACTAGTCAGTTGTAAGTTACCTTACCTTCCCCGAGAGTTTCCCACCCTTCTCTCATGTGCGTCGGTGTTCCTGTCGCTGGCGCTCTGGCTGGCATGCTGCCCTCTCCCGTCAACTTTCAGGCACCACATTTACATTCCTTATTCCTCGGCACCCTCCCCCCAGTTGAGATCTTCGGTTTCAGCGCCTGATGATCGGGATGGGATGGGCTTGGTGGTTCGTCGGCTTCTTCACAAGCACCGCACCGACCGGGCCTGCGAGCGATGCTATTTGGCCCGTTGTCTTTGATCTTGTGTTGCACCAAGCTTCGCAGTCGTGGAATAAGTTTGTCGGCAGGAATCTTCAAATTTTTTGGTGGAGCGGTGGTTGAGTCCAGGGGGAAAGGCTTCCCAGTAAGGTACGAAGCTATCGTCAGCTGGCGCAGTGGCCGGTCCCTCTTCCCCTTCTCCAGTTGGGCTTTAGCAGGCGGTGCACGCTGTTCCCTCTCCTACAGTACGGTCTGCGCTGGGCTGGCCAGCGGACAAAAATGATGGCTTAGATGTAGTCGTACAGAGTACACTAGGTGCACTTGTGCCCGTGTGGACCAAGTCGCAGATACTATGTACAGGAGACACTTGACGCGGGTGCACCTGTGGGCTCTTCTTGGGACCTGCAAATAGCTCGATGGGATCCGGTCGCCGCCGCCGCCGCCGCCAGGCTGGAGGGGGGATCATGGCTGGATTAGGCAGAGTGGGGAGGGAGGCCGGACGCTTACCTGAGGTGTCCTCGGAGAGGAGAGGAGAGGAGGGGGGTGTCCCGTCAGGGGTCAAGGTGTGAGAGGAGTATTGCGACAGCAACCAAGTGAAGGGGGGCGTGGGCATCTGCGTCTGTCTCTGTGTGGCAGGGGGTGGATGGGGTTGCCTGCCGTTCCCCCAACCCTTGGCTTGGACCAGGCAGAGAGAGATTGTGTGCGTAGCCTGTACCGCAATATGTACGTGCAAGGTAGGCGGAGGATGGATGCAGCCATCTCTCGCATATGCACGCCGTTTGGAGCAGTGCGAGGGTACCCGACTGACGGCGGCGTCAAGCATAAGGGATGGGGAAGAGATAATGAGTGGGCGTACACGCTGTACCGATGTGCGTGTAGGTGTGCATCGGATGTGTATGTGTATATGTGTCTGTGTCTGTATCTGTGTATGTGCGCGCTTGCGGATGTGGTGTGGGAGAGACGGTGACGGTGTCACGGTGGGAGGCAGCAGGGCGAAATGTGAATTGATTTGGGGAGGGAGAGGTAATGATCTGGTGTTGAGATGTGCGAGAGAATGAGGTACGGATAGGTAAGCCACGGATACTCTGTACGGACACCTAGCCAGGATGAGAAACCTTGCGGTAAATAAGGCTGGGAAGATAATGGGTAGTGTGTGATTATGAGGACGGATAAGGTATGGATGGAGAAGCGTGATAAGGTACCGGGGCTGCCACAGTCCGTCCCGAGCAGTTATATTGGGAAGGCACGCATACGCTGCTTTGCCATTACTCGCAGGATAAGTGAGATAAAAGAGCACGGGAGGTGCAGGGAGAATATTCACTGCAAAGTGGACAGGTCTCGCTCGAGGTTTTCGGTCAATCGTAGTCTATCTGTCTCGATCCATTTCCCGGAAGGTGCAGGCAACAAGCATAGAATAAGAGACAGCGAGAGAGTCGTGAGGTGCGGTGCAGCGGCATGAGGTACGTCTCGAGGCTACGTGCATACCTACCTATTACTGGGTACCTTACCTTCCGCCCAACCTGTCGAACCTGACGTGCCACCGCGGAGACTGAACTGACTCCTTGGCGTTAGCTGTGGTACCTAGGTACGCCAAGGAACGTACCCTATACGTACCGGCAAAGTCTGTGGGCCGAAGAACCTTTTCGGGGTCGAGTGGCACGGCACACGGCCGCTGGGCCCATCCATGTTTCTTCTGTCCTCCATTCTTCTCTCACTCTTCCCAATCCGCACAAGCGCCTCATCCCCCGGCAGTCCGGGCATTTTCTGCCTCTCTCTTGGACTCTGTGCTCGCCCTCTGTATCTGTACCGTCCGCCCGTCTCGAACCCTTCGGCCCCCCTTTTTTTGTCCCCGGGCTGGAAATGAAAAAGAAGCACGGAAAACGGTTTGCGCGATACGTACCTTGCTATACACTACACATCAGCTTGCAAATTCCCTCCACTTTGCGGGCAATGCTAACAGCCAAGCAATCGCAGGTCTAGAGAAGTTGATGCCATCGTGATCAATTGATCCGACGTTGCTACAAGTCATCATCCGACATGACCTCCATCATCGCGGCCCATCGCGAACCAGTCCGACGAGAATGACCTCCTAAGAAGCTGACAAGCATCGCTTACCCGCGGTAAATTGGGGCCGCGGTGCTTTGCGGGCCGGCGGCGCAAGCTCATATTAAGCACACAGAACAGACACCTATTACTTGCTTCGCTCCTGGGCCGATCTCCTCCAAAGATTGGCTCCCACATGGGCTTGGCTGGCCTCCGTCCTGTCCTCGAATCGGTCGTTATCGCTCGATCCAGGCTGATAATAAAATCGAGCAAATCCTCCAGCCTACCCTAACCTAGGTAGCGCTGGCAAGTTGGTAAATACAGCCTTTACCCGAACTTCCAAGGTTACGCGCTGCGTCGCTCGGAAACCCCAGGACCTCATGTCCTTTCTATTTTCTCTTCTCAACGCAGACGAAAGACAACAGACGCGGTCCACGGCCCAAACCTACCACTCAAGGAATGGCTTGGCTGGTGCCGCACTCCGACGACGGTGGCCCTCCCACCATCATGTACGTAAGTCGCAACGCTCCTCAAACCCCATCATGCGGTGAAGGTAAACGGCGGAGACTGGGTCAGGGACTGCACTAGGTCTGGGGCTCGGTCCTGTCGGCAACCACTTCACGTGAGCTCGTCTCCAATATGACGAGCCTATCCCCGACAGTCAGGGGCCCCTCCATAGCAAACCGTCCCATCTCCCGCCATGGTCAGACTGGGTTGGTCTTCCCGGTCACGACACACTAGGAAAATCCGTAAGTACACACAGACGTGTTTGGCGCGACGGCCAGACCTCTTCTCTATCGCCCATTCCAACTCTTTCTCTCTCTCTCTCTTTCTCTCTTCCACTTGTCTTCCGGATATCCAGAGGAGTATCCGTGAAAATAGGGTCTCGCAAGGATAGTAGCAGATTGAATCGCTGGACGCAAAGCGCGTACATCTAAAACACCCGTGTCCCGCAACTCACTGCCGCATCAACCCAAAGCATAAGACCGATGCCACGATATCACGATGCCACGATGCCCATATCTTGGCAACATGGTATGGTCCGGAAAGTGATCGCCTATGCAGGGCAGTTTGCCAGATGCACTCGGCACCGCCTCAGCAGCAGCACTGGGGGAGGTTCAATTGGTTGCCTCTGCTGGTGCTTCTGCTTGCCGATGACTTTCAATGGGGGGATACCACCCACGGCTACGCGGGCGCACATTCCTGCGAGGGTTGTGGAACATGGGAATCAATTAAAAGCTGAGACAAATGATGCAGCCCAGCCCAAGCCAGCCGGCGGCCCAGACAGACTTCTCCGAACGGGATGCCACACCTCCTCAGCAAATCCATCACACGAGCCACAGGGCGTCCAGGGCTGCACGCGCCACGGGGAAGCCGACTCAGCTAGAGCCAAGTCCTACCTTCCCGTCGTGAAGAGTTTCCACCAGGCCTCAGAAGCCAAGCTAAGCCGAGCCAAGCTGTCTGTGGTCGACGGCGCGTTTCCTCGATTTGCCCTGCCCCTCTCAACCTTTCTGGCTAATTATTTACTTATGATATTCGTCGTCGCTATGGAAAACCTAGTCGGCTGTGGCTCAATTACCTCCACTTCCCCGTGCCGTGTATCACTGCCTTGCTCACCAGTCTCGACCGCATCACCATCTCGCCAAATCATCGGCCCAGAACTCCAAACACAGCGAAAGCACCTGCTGAATAAGGCTTGCTAAAAGTGGGGCCATCCAGACTCACCTCGTCATCCCCTCTCCACCCCAAATGCTTGAGGGGCCCCCGGCATCGTCACGTTTTTCGCCGTGATTGGCCCGGCCGGCTGACGCTACATCGGCAGAAACCTTTTTTCTAATTTTCCTTCTTTGCGGCCCCTTCCCCCTCTCAAGGCAAACAAAGCAAGCCTTCCCCACCCTCCCTCGCCCAAAGCATGCGCTAGATACGGATACGTACCCTTAGATCGGCGCATGCCGTTGTCGTCAACTGCTAGCCGTTCCAGACCATTGGCCGTGACTACAGGCGCCCAAGTCTAGGCGGTTTTGACGCGTGCGATTTCCTTCTTTTTTTTTTTTTTTTTTTTCCCTCCCCTTTCCAAAACCACCAAGTCCATCACAGTTTTGTCGCGCACCGAGAGGATCCAATTATCATTGGACGACGCTTTTGGGCAGATGAGCATTGCATCAGATGCTTGATCCAGATGCCTGAGCTGGCCCGCCAAGACATATTTGCTGCGTCGTCGTCGTCCTTCTTCGGCTTCGTTTATCCCGTCCAGTCAACGCCAAGAAAGCGGCAGTGACTCGCGGAGAATCGAACGCCAGGCCTGAAGCGTAGCCTTGGGTAGTGGTGATGATGAAGCCTCCGTGCATACCATCTTTTGCATGCATTGATCAAGCAGACGCACACATCGGTTCGCTTTCCATTACGGAGAAGAGACGTAAGATGTTGGGATTGCAGGAACCATAAAAGAAGGATGCGAAGAAAAGACCAGACGATCAAGTATTCCATGACCAGTCCCCGTCCCTCCCGTGGTTGTGTCATGCACAGGTAGGCGACCTGCCTCGACGTTCATGTGTCATGTCCAGAATTTCTCAACCTTTTTCTCAGTTCTCACCGGACGTTGCAGCTCATCATCCCCCCTTCTTACCCATGCCCGCCACACCCGACAGAGCGTCCCCGTCAATCTTCCCTCCGCTCAATGCATTGACCGTCTGGCAATGAGGCATTAGGATGCCATACTAAAGTGTTGGGCAGACTTTTTTTTTTTTCAAGGCTCGCTCGCCTTGCTGCCTCTTAACTACCAAATGACAAGTTCAAAAGTAAGGCGCCCATCAACCGTAGATTGAAGCTTCCAAAAGACAAGATGAGACATGTCCCGGCAAGTGGGAGAACGATTGGATTATCGGGTTCAGAGGGACGAGACGAGGAGTTTGCCCGGCTCGGTTTGCCACCCCTCCTCCTTTTTTCTTATCCTTTTCGAAACATGACACTCGCTACTCTGTCGATGATGCGTATCTTTCTTTTTCCCCCTTCACTCTTCTTCATCTCTCATCGTCTCGTTTTGACCTCGGATCGGAAATCCGTGCGCCGTCAATCCAAACACTTCAAAACACCTAGAACGCCCAAGAACACACATAAATACCCACCCTTCCCTGTTCTGCTCAACATGGTCAATGGTCCTCGGGCCCTCATGGATGCGTCTTAGGAGTTATGGATACTCAGTATAGTTCATATACAGAATACGTTGTAATTTAACGCGCATGGGTTGTGCCGGAGATCCACAGTCCAGCATTCCTCGGTTCTCGTGTCCCGCAACTCTAAATCACTATTACAACGCGACGAAGATACCAGGAAACGTGGTTTCATCTAATCGCGAATTTCTCGCAGACCCAAGACCGCGTTCTTCTCAGGAATTTGGGGAGATCCCCATTCCTCGCCCTCTATTCGATAATGCGCTTTTAATCGGAGGTCTGGGCCATTTACTCACTTGATATCCACATTCAACACCCATTGCGTGCCTTGGAGGCTGAAGGCTGAAGCAAAGTACCGCTCGAACCACTTGGAATGTGGAGTTACTACGCAAGGTGCCTAAGGAATCACTGAGGAAGATGAACGCGGACTATCTATGTCAAAGGTGAAAGCGGATATCATTCGGGGAAAACTTTAAAAGTCAGAGGCGAAAAGGTAAATAAGCATGTCCGCATGTCCCCTCATCCTTCTTGTCGCCACCTTCGAGATCCCATGTTCGGGGAAAGCATTGAGACTTCTTCCCGCCCAAACCCCTACAAGGCTCTTGCAATCGAGATGAGGAGAGACGGAAAGGTTTCAGGACCTGGTGCGTTGCGGTATAAACGCAATTTGACAAGACTGATGATCCGAAAAGGTTCTGATCCAGATCGAGAGTCCCATCATCAGGGGCCCGAGCAATACCCAGTGTATGGATATTGACGGTGATGTCATGCCAGGAAAGCTGTATTCCGTCAAGATCGAAGAAGTTCCGAGTCTCTACCCCATGATTTGATCCGATGTGCACGTTACTTCCCCGAGCCTCAATGCCAGTCTAACCACGGTAGGCGGTGCTTCCACGTCCTTCGAGATCCAAGCAAAGCCAAAATGCCATTTTCCGCTCAACGTCCGTTTGTTCACGAATTGCAATGATGCTATTTCGATTCCCCACTACGAATCAAGGCCGATGGGACCGTCGTCGATCTCTACTCCCGTCCCACATTATCAACCAAACCAAGACATCTCACAGTTGCAGGCGAGGAAGCAGGTGAAGAAGGGACGCAGCACCATACAACCCCCCCATTCCGTCATCTCGCAGTCCGGTAGTCCGGCAGGTTCCCCGCCGCCGGCGCACCGCCAACACCACATACATGCTTTTACCCCATCTCCAAATGCTGGTGCGGGTGGGAGATGTCAAGTTACATAGTTCTGTACACGCCTCCGCGCAGATTGGCGCACATAGAGTTCCTCTTCACTAGATGGCTATGCTTCCCCTACACAGTATGGTCGGTCTAAGGGGTATGATACCTTTGCAGGGGGGGGGGGCACGGTGGGTTCCGTCCGCGCTCCCGGCCACCACGACCCCCGCCCACGGACCGGCGATCGCACGTGTGTCAAGTCGCAAAAAGGAAAGAAAAAAGAAGGGACCCGACGACTGAATGAAGGACGGGAAGAAACGCTACGGACTGCCGGTCCGAGGACAAATAATGGGATCAACAATGAAAAACGGAAAGGAAGACGGGTCAGTTGGCGGTGTCAAAGTAACATTCCACGAGAGGAAAATGCTCCTTGGGTTGGGCCAAAGAACAAAACGAACGCTGTCGGAAGGGTTATACGGGTTCCATGTCTCCCACAAGTCCGAGGGCAAAAACCTCACACAAGGTCCCGTCCTCTGTTTAGGTACGTCTCTTCTTCGGTCTTCGGCGCCGAAGAATCGGATCCTAGTGGATGAGAGCCACTGATCTTGTTTCCTCGGCTGTGTGCGCCGGTGGAGCAGTCTTTCAAGGCGCATGGCGGTGACCATGCTGGCCGGCATCATGACGCAACACGTGGGAAGATCGTGTCTTCGAGCGCGCGGACGTTGATGTCGCAACATCCGAATTAAACAATTGACAACGGACCAGCAGGGAAGTCTAAGAGTTTCTACATGTACATCATTTCGAATTTACGCCATTGGGTGCTTAAAACCACACACTACCTAGGCAGACCGTCCACTGTCACAGTCCTGGATCGCCGCTCGTTCTGCTCCTTTACACACGCACTCAATATCTCGCTTTCTCGACCGCGCGCATTGGAGGTATCCGTCTTTAGACGCCGATGCCAAACAAAGCCGAATTAGAAAAATGTTCCCAGGATCAACACATAAGAGTACATTGTTGGCCGCAGCCATAATCGGCGCCGGTGCCGTTTAGTCCAATCGCCCTATTCGGCTCGTGATTCGGCCAAAGAGGAAGGACAGTGACCGATGTCTAGTCGAAGCGAAGTCCCTCCCCCCTCCCCCCTTTCTCTCACGACGCAGACTTATCGTTCGAGTCCTGTTCGGGGTGGTAGTTTGTCTCCCCTAGCATCGCAGTCGGCTGAGTAGTCATAGCCGTCTGCGTGTTGGGCTGCGGTTGCGTCTGTACCGTCGGACCCGTAGGTTGTTGCGCCGGAGGTTGTGACGAAGATCGTGCCGCTGTACCCGCGGTGGCAGCGTGGAGTCTCTGATCCAACGTCTTGAGTGCCAACGCTCTTCTCCGCTCCGCCTCGGCTCTCGCGCCGCCGGGTGCGCCCCTCTGTATAAAGTTGTTGCCTCGACCGGACGGGACGTTGTCCGGAGAGAAAGGGCTACATATCCGCATCGCTACCAGCACCTCAAAGATCTGATTCGAAAGGGTGGCAACGAACGGCTTCACCGGCGCCGGGAAGAACTCGGCAAACGCAAAGGTCTCGCTAGCGTCTCCGCGGAGAGAAGTCGGCTGGGAAGAGTCGAGATCGGGGAAGACGGTCTTGTAGAAGCGGAGGTATGTCCAGCTCGTGAGCAGGCCGCTCAGAGCAAGGGAGAAGGAGGCCGCCGTCAGAAGCGGCGTCAGAGACAGGACAAAGACGATACCGAGATACAACAGAGGGAATCTCGGAACTCGAAGGGAGAGGATGCCGCGGAACAAAGTGACAGTGTGCGCCGGGACAAGCTGGCTAAATGCGACGAGGAAAGAGATCTGCATCGGGATGGTGCCGCCAATGACGGTCAGTCTGTCAAGAGCTGTATTAGTGTTGCTGTCGTCTGACATGTGCGGGAGGGCAACTTACGTCCAGCGCTCGTTTCTCGTCAGGGTGAAGAATATGATCATAAGCGCAAAGGTCAAGATATTGGGAATCAGCGCAGTGACGGCGACGAATTTGGCCAGCTCCGCCGAAGACCAAGCTCTCTCAAGGTATCTACCGCCTTGGTAAATGGTGACACCGGCAATCCCGAGCGTAAAAATATTGTTCTCGACCAATGTTGAACTCAAGAACGTCCATGGATAAATGAGGGAGAGCTGAGGGATGAGCGTTAGGTACGGTATCACGATCTCGGATGTCGCGCTCCATTGACGATAGCGGATCGCGGCGCTCAGGAACGATTGCACAACGAGTACGGCAAGCAGGACCCGGGTAACCGGCGGGATGTTGATTCGAGGCGGCATTTTGGGACAGCTTCCGTTCGGGGAGGTGCACGTCAACAGCTCATCTAGGTTGGGATCGTGAGGTGGCCAAGCTCGCTTTTTGCCCTTCAGATACCTACTTTCTGAAGCCTCACCCGAATGGACACTTGGACGTGAATGGTAAGGCCTGGTGTCCCGGGGTCGTTTCAATGGGTCACAGAGACGGATTAATAGTAGTGCCGATATTAGAGGTGACCTGATCCAGACAGGGGGAAGAGCTGGAATCTTGGGTGCACGGGCCTTACAGACGGGACTGATTGGATCTCGTGGCCCATTTTGGCGGGTTCCCAGCAAAATTGACACGGGCAGCTTCTCTCCCCGGCTGCGGTACGTACCGAAGAACCACGTTCCCTCGATACTCCCTTTCGTGCCTCAACGATGTGTGTTTAACTGCCAATATCAACGTTGTAGGTCTGTCCATCAGCAAGGGAAATCCTACGGTAAACGCCAATTTTAAGCGGATTTGGGGATGGAAAGCGACGGACGAGAGGCGAGTTGCGGCGCACAAGCAGCGGCACAAACAGGCACACGAGTTTTTTCATCTGCAAGGCGATGGACGGGCTGTGAGGGGCGTGGGAGTGTTCCACTGGTGGATACGACGAGTCCTCGATGCGGTCGAAACGGGGAGATCTCGTGGTTCTATCCCTGCAGGGCTCCCAAGTGCACTTGGTTCGGTTGAACGCCAGCCCAGCCCGGCCGTGCCAGTTAGAAGCCGTCGTCCGCCCTTTCCCACAGGTGCCACCGTCCCGTCCGGCCTCTCGGCAGGAAAAGCCTTGTTGTTGTTGATTGTCTTCGGCATGGTCATGACCACAGGGAATTTCAACGCTTCTTGAGGAATGCTGCGACGCATGACAGATATGCCTTTCCCCAGCATAAGCTTTGGTGAGCTTTGGTGCGAGCGCCCAGGCGACAAGACTGACTCGAGAAAAGGGGCCCCTGGGCGCCTTCGGACGGTGCCGTTTGCTTGACTAGGCTGCTCTATCGGCTAGGAAGGAGACGCCGTTGCTTTCGCCATGGCATCATTGATTGTCAGAGAGAGGAAAGACTGCCAATCTGAAGTAATCGTCGCCACCCAAGGAATCGATCACTTGTCATCGTCGCAACCATTGTCAGCTTTCCCGACACCTAGTCCACGGCTGGCGGCTGAGGCCTGACCAACCCCATCCCTCGTCATGTCGATACCTACCCCAGACACTGCGCTAGGATACATGTTGCCTTTGAAGCACAAAAAATCCGAGAGCTAATAGCAATGGCAACGGCAATAAACACCACAAGCGCCAGTAGGCATGGTCTGAGTCTGTGCCAGGGTGCTAGGGTGATCTCTGTGAGAACGTTCTGCCATTCCCAGGGGTGTTTCCGAACAACAAAATGTCGGCCAACGTTGACGGGATGGGGTTTGACCACAAAACGAGGTCCCATTCGGCTTGGCCTGATGTGCCGGTGTGACTGGCCAGCAGTGAGTGGTCACAGAACGGCGGTGGCAGGGGGCCTGAAGAAGTCCCCGGAGCTATTAAAGATCGAAGGCCATGCAGCCATCACATCCTTGTCCACACCCACCCTCGGCGCCTTGCGACCAGCGGTTCCCGCCAGGGAAGGCCCCTTGGTGGGCAATGCCACGTACACACAAGAGATGACCTCTGCGGGCAGACAGACGAGAGAGTTGGTGGAGGGAGAGTGAAAACGACGAGAGGAGTATTGAGAAAGATGATGAACGCTGAATCGACGACTGTAGCGGTTCCCCTTTGAAAGTACCCACCTCGTGTGCACATCTAACTGCGGCAGCGATCCTCAAAACAAGAGAGGCTTGTTCCGGTTGTCTCGTCCGACTCCGACCTTAACCCCCCGCCCAGCTGCTGTCATGATTGGTATCCCCCACTCGGCACCGTACCTTGCCTTGCCATTCAAGGTTTGGCGGTACGTACATGACGGGTAAGAATTGGAAACAGACGACAAACCGCTGCCCATCTGCGCGGGCTGCAGCCCCAAGAGGCGCGGCCCTCTCTCGGCATTAGCCTCCAGCGCGGTGGCCGCATGGGGCAAAAGAGAGAGTGAAAGCCATGTACGTATCGATTTGTGCATGCAAGCTAAGCCGTGCCGCAATCAAGACGGTTGGGCGGAGACGTCAGAACACAGCACCAGTGCACAAGACAAGCATAGTCCGGCGCTGGAGTTGGTTTGCTCGTCTCGTCTGCCCTCCTAGCCTGGCTCAGCGGCGTGCTTCCGTGTGTCTGCGCTGCTCTAGTTGTGCACCTTGGTCGTGGAACGCGGCTGGGGGCCAGAAACAGCACCAGGCTCACAAGACTGGGAATGTTTCTGAGGTGTCCACCTGCGTGTCTCTTCTGATCCCCGACCGGTGAGGTGGAGATGGGTAGCGGGATCAAGACGAAAAGGGGGGGGGGGGGGGGGGGGGGGGGGGGGGGGGGGGGGAGGGGGGGGGGGGGGGGGGGGTGGCGCGGGGGGGCGGGGCGGCGGGGGGCGGGGGGGGGGGGGGGGGGGGGGGGGGGGGGAGGGGGGGGGGGGGGGGGGGGGGGGGGGGGGGGGGGGGGTGGGGGATGCCGGAGCACGGAGGCAGGTCATCAGTGGTGATACAAAAAACTGCATTCGATTGGCGCAGATGCGCTAGAAGCGACGTGCGGCGGCGCCCGCAATGGGCAGACACGACGGACGGCAGAGTCAGAAGTTAGAACAGCAGATCAGGCCCGAGAGTTGAAGACATTGGAGGTTTTCCCATTGCTCCAAGAAACTGGGGAGCCGCCTTACGTAAGGTGGGGTTCGAAGGGGTTCGACATGTCTAGTCGCAGCCATTTAGCCAATCCGTGCATCGCTCTCCCGTCCTTGTACCTTTCTATTGTGCCTTCCATTTTTCGAGGTCGTCGGTACGGAGGACCTCGATAGTTCAACGTCTCCAGCCCTCTGTCCATCCGCGGTCCAGCTGCCCGTACGTCTGTCAGGAAGAGCCCAGCATCCGCAGTGCCTCGCTTGTTCTGGACCCCTGAAACGATCGAGGTTTTTTTCTTCTTCTCTTCTTCTGGTCAAACGACAGAGATCGACAACCAGAGCTAGAGATGGAGCACAATCGCACACTCGGATACAAAGTGCTATTTTGGATTGGATTGTGCCAGGCAGGATCCATCCTCGATGCTCACATTGCACGACAGCATGGAGAAGCCTAGCGAGAAGCGAGCGACGCATTACTCCCGTACTCCGTACCTCGAGATCGAGAAAAGCACGCACACCGGGCCCAGGCAAGGCACGAAGCCAAGGCCATGTACTCTTACGCATCTGTGTGTAGTAGAGAGTACTTGGGACAAAGCGCAAGGGGCGGCATTGTGACTGGGTGTCAGGACCACCTTCAAAGTCCCAAAATGTGGCTCTCCCGGGAACCCTGTCTTGAGTAGCAGCCCCAAACACCACCCCAAGTTCGATGGACCACAACAACAAATTGATGGACGGGACCACGGGATTAGCAGAGAATTATCGTTTTCTCGAAGACTGCCCGCCCTTCTCACCCCCTACACACAATTCTTTCTGGGTCTCCCCTCACTTGATGGTAAAGACTTGCCATCGAGCCGTCGTTTCCGTCTGCCCGACACCCCAACAGCTTTTATGACGACAACTACGATTCAAAACATGGGAACAACGGGGCAGTCAAAGGAATTGCCTGCCGCCCGGTCATTGTCGACGGATGGCCAGGTTCCAATGGAACGCTGACTGGCTAGGGATTTCGAGGAACGGTCCAAGAGGTACGCTGAAGGTTAAGTACCTTGGATCATGCACTTTGGGCCGGCTCCACACGCGTCCGACATAGTCGGTACGTACCTCGTGGGTAGGTATGCTTGTTCCTCCAGCTCCCGTCCCAGTTGATGGGAGTCTCCAAGATTTCGTGTCTGGTTGATGCTAGCTGCGCTCGTTCGTTCATCAGTCGTCCCGGGGACTTGCAAAGCCTCGACCAGGGTCCAGGGCCTCAGGCTGGTCCCTTTTCCACCATCTGGTGAGTTCCCTGCTGCTCCTGATCCGACTGCGACATATGTGTGTGCGTGTGTGTGCGTGTGTGCGCCGCCTGCAACTGTATCGTCGTGCCGCTGCGCCGATGGGGACGGAGGCATAGATCGGGTTGGTAGTCGCGGTAAGGTAGTGTAAAGGGTAAGGCACCTTGAGCAGAAAAGAAAGCTGCTGGTGATCGGCGGAACGGCAGTAGACAGGTTATGAAGTTGGAGTGAGTACATTAGCTACCGAGGAAGATAGTGTATGGATAGCAGTATCTGTTCCTTTGCAAAAAAAAAAAAAAAAAAAAAAAAGGACAAGACGGGGGGGGGCGGGGGGGAAGGGGAGAGAAAGTGTTGAGAAGTTGAGAGGAGGAATTAGGAACCGGAGGAAAAAGGGTAAGGAATATAATTTTTTTTTCTTTAAAAAAAAAAAAAAAAAAAAAAAAAATGCCATTACCAGTGCCACGCTCGCGTCGGCTTCTATCCGCCAAATGCTGCGCCGCCAAGTGCAGTGAGTGCAAGCAATGCGAAGGCGACGCAGAGAGCGAGGAAAAGCGTATTGTGCTCATCCCGCCATGCCCCCGTCTTGTTCTTCCTCGTTCTCCATGCTTGTCCTTCCTAGTCAGAGTCCTGCTGGCCCCCCGGTCAGTCATAGGCAGTCCCCTACCTTAGTCGCTAGTCCAGTCAGTGCCCGCCATTGAATCCAACTGGGCTGCTGGCGCTAGCGCCACGCCTCACGCCTGGTCTCGCCTAAACAAGGTACGTAGGCTACGTACCGCCAGATTCAGATTCGCCCATCCTTCCATTTCATCCACTCTTGCGGGCTTCCTCAATCTTCAATCTTTCTTCATCTTGAATCGACGACTGCAAAGACCGCTTCCTCCTCAACCAACGACGCCCGGAAATCGCGCCCACGAAGGCTCTCGTCGAGTCCCCCGTCGAACTAACTCAAAGAACTCTTCTCAATCACGCCGCCCACAGCGGCGCTTCGCGGCATGGTCACCAAGGAGTACCTTGACTCGGACAGAGTCAACTTTCTCGTCTGGAGGTGAGTTCACCCTTTTTGCGTCTCACCCACACCCGCCCGCCGCACCTCCACGAACGATCGCGCCTCACTTATCTCACACTCTCTGTTCGCCTCTCATGAATTGAGTCTCGACGGACGGCCTCGCGCCATCACGGTATCGCTGCCATGCTGACTTTGACTCCCTCTCAGGTATCTCTTGGAAGGCAGTACGTGAAGACCGTCTGGGTACAGCCAGCGACAGCTGGTGGTGGGCCATGGCTTTTTTTTCCTGACGATTGCAGACTACCGAGAAACCGCAGCCAAATTCCAGAAAGAATGGCACATTCAGCAACCCCATCGTCATTTTGATTTCGCAAACCACGTCAAGAGCCACGCTTTGGTGTCAATCATCAACAAAGGCCTCTGCTACCATGCACTCGAGAGAGAGCATGCGAAGAAATTGGTAAGGCAATGTGCTCCGCTCGGCTGTCCTTCCTGCCCCCTTCCCCTTCCGCGTCATGAGTAACCGGTGCACCCCGAGTCGGCGAAGGGTGGTTGTGTGGAAAATGTGCGAACTTGGACAAACTAACATTTTCTCTCTGCGCGTGCAGCTGCCTTCAGATGCTGCGGCTGCGGCCGAAGCACAGCAGGTGGGGTTATTTGGGCCACTGATCGCTCAACCGCCTCAAAAGATTGAGGAGGATGAGGACGCAGACGGCGAGGTGGACGACACAGAGATGGAGGTCGAAAACACTCGGAAACGCCAATTTGACAGCCGGCCACAACAGCAGCACATGGTGAATGGCGGCTCACCCAGCAAGCGGCCCAGGCTCAGCAATGGGTACGAGAGCACGAACGGGGCGGATGCAGCCACGGACCCCATGGAGCTAGACAGCCACGGCGACAACAACCACGCCTATCCGTCGCCCCTCGAAGGCGAACAAGCTCCGACGCCCACCCCGAGAACAGATGGCCCCGAGCAGGGCACGCAGGTCGACAAAGTCGAAGAACTCGCCCCAGAGACGACGTTTTTGCGATTAATGCCCGATGACAGCAGCACCAGCGCCGGTGCCACTAACGAAGCTCGAGACGGCGGCGCCCCGACGACTTCGACTACGATTGCTGCAAGCGCAGGCGGCCCCGGAGCTTCGCCCTCGCCAGCCAACGGTGAAAACGCACCCATCCTGTTGCGCTGCGAGTGGAACCCAAAGGACCCATCAATCTTGGCGGCTGCTGGAACCGATGCGCTAGCCCGCATTTGGACCATCTCACGTTCCAGCACAATGACGCCTGCTCCAGCTCCCGAACCCGACGGTCACGTGCATGGGGTCCATCGCCCGTTTCACAGTCTCATCGACGACGAGACTCCCCGGACAGCTACTGTAGGTCAGCTTGCTTGGAACTGGGGGGGGACGGCCATCGCCATTGCCATCGAGCATGGCGATAAGGCGTCTGTCCACATCTGGGCAAAGGACGGCTCGCACGTCGACAAGTTCGACGTCTCGGACCCTCCCGTGATCAAGCTCCGTTGGAGCCCGAGCGATGCAGCCCTTCTCGCCATTGCGCCTGACAACAGTCACGGCAACGGAAACGGCGGCGCTCTGGTTACCGTCTATCACTCCCTCACGTCCAGCACGTTGTCCTACTTCTTGCCAAATCACGACTTGCTCAACTGGCCCTTAGATGCTGCGTGGACCAGTGAAACAGAATTCCTCCTCACCGGCGGAGATGTCATGCTGTCACTGAAGTGCACGGAGACGGCCATCGTGCCGAACAAGAAGCTGGAGAGCAGGGAGGACGACACCTTCACTCAGGTCGTCTATGACTGGCGATCAAAACTCTCCGCAACGGCGAGCGACAAGGGCATCCTGGATGTAAGTTTCCCGAAACGCCTGTGCCGTAAAAGTTCGGCTGACTCAACGTTTTAGCTCTGGGACGAAGATGGTCACCGCCGGTCAATAACGGCCCACTCTGGGGCGATCACTGCCGTACAATGGCAGCCTCTTCCGGAAGATGCTATCGTACCGGAAGACGAGCGATTGATCGCTTCCGGAGGTGATGATTGCGCCATCATTATTTCCAACGCAAAGGACACTGAGCCAGGAAAACCCAAATCAATTTTGACAATGGAGTCGCCTATCGTATCGATTGCATTCACACCAGATGGCGCCTTCATCGCCGGAGCGACGTCCGGTCGTATTCTCATCTGGAAAGTGGGCGAGCAGCATACGATGCCTAGGGCGAGTTGGAGCAGATCACCACATCCTGGATGGCTCAGTCCCAAGGCAAGCTCGGAGCCAGAGGAGGAAGATGAGCACTGTCTATGCTGGGACGCCGACGGACAACGGTTAGCGTATGGAGCCAACAGCCGAGTAAGTCATTTCTAGATTGACCAGCATGACCCGGTTCTAACTTGCTGCAGTTGGCTGTTATCAACTTCCGCCGGTAGGCGAGATACGAGATCCCATGCCATTTTGTGCGCATGCATAGTCGTTCAGAGCATTCCATTGGAGTGTTAGACGTTAGAAAAGACTCGGTATCCCAACACCAAATGACCGAGACTCTCCGAGGCTCTCCGAGGAAGAGGGAATCATGTCCACTCTCGGAGGGCATCTTCAACAGACGATCCTGTGTCGTACAACACCTAGTCACTTCGAATTTCTGCAGTTATCCGGCGTCGTGGCGGTGTTAATCAAATGATTTCAGACAGTCCCCAATAGGCGGGGTTGGGGCGGGGAACCCGCTGTCTTCTTGCATACGCATACCTTCATCTCACATCACAACTGAGCTTCTGGAAAGGACGACTGGAGTCAGCGTTGGTTTAGATGTCACCGTGGTAGATGATTCGGTCACTTTCCTCTGGTTGATTTGACTGCCACCAAACAGGCTCGTGTCCTGCAGCGAGGGAGAGATACATTACTTGACACTTGAGGGGTCAGCACGTTGTACACTATGCCTGTATATACCAAACGATATGGAAAAGGGAAACTACGACTCTTTAATACTTCATCCTGGCTTGACTTATGTATATGGTTATGCCGCCTTGGTGCAGGACTGTACGCAACGCCTCTATGCTGCGAGCATCAAGATCAAGCAGTACGGCTTTTGGCAAGAACATCGGTACCGTCGAAGTCCTGGCTATTGTGCATGTCGGCTCATTGAGCAGGTCTCTGAGTCGGTGATTACTTCACTTGAATCGCAGCTTGGAGCGCACCAACTACATGCGACTCCAAGAGAGTTACTAGGCAGGGCGTATTGACTCGTCAAATCACTGCCCGCCCGTCTGGCTGGAAGGTGACACAACGGCTTGGGGCTTTCCGCTCCTCGACTGCCCCGCATCGGATCCGGAGGGGGAGGGGTAGGGGGAAGTGAACCAGCCACACTTAGTGGACTGTGCCAGCGTGGCAGCGCCCCCCGCCCCCCGCACATGTTTGTGCCAACGACACCCTGTGGTTTTTTATCCGTGCGGTTTTCCTCCTTCCGATTGCAAATGAGCAAAGTAACTAGGGTAGGAATCAGTCAATCCCATTGTCCGTTCATTCAACTCTCCCGCCGCCTCGACACCAGCTCGCATTGTTTGTAGTTGTTGTTTTTTGACCGTGAGACTCAAACATCGAACAGACGAGGGATTGTCTCACCGAGGCGCCGCTTTCCTTGCGATACCACTTGGGCTCTCATCAATTTGCATTGTTTGACGAGGGGGGGTTTATAATTGACAGCGACGCGCCCTGCGTGTAGGGAAGGAGGAGTGGGTGAACTGCACAAGTCCAACTCACGACAACCCGACGTCCCCCTCAACGCTTAATCCGAGCGTCTCACCTCCCCCTACACGACCTCTCATCTCTCTTACTCATTCTCACACACACACACTCACACGCACAAACCCAACCCAAGCATCGCCATTCTCAAAAGAGAAAGGGGGTAAAAAAAAAAAAGAAAAAAGAAGAAGAAGAAAAAAACAGGAGAACATCAAAAATGTCAGCCCCGTACTACACACCCCAACGCCCCTCCTACTTCTCCCCCTCAAACCACCCCTCCACATCATCCTCCTCCTCCGCAACTCGCCCCGGCGCGACATCGACCTCGGGCGCGGGCGCGCCCTCTTTCACACCCGTCATGCGCGACCGCCAGGCCCGCGGGAAGGACCCGTACTCACCGCACGACAGCCCCTCGGACTCGGATATCGAATTCGACGGCGGCGCGGGTGGTTCGCCTTCGAGGAGCGGGGTTGGTAGGTTGGGACATCTCGGTCCCGGGGGAGGAGCACATCACGGTGGCGGCAGTGGTGGAGTGCTAGCAGGAGGAGGAGTTGGAGATGGTGATTCTCATGAAGTCAGGCGACGGAAGCTGTGGGCTGTCGCTGTGCTTGAGGATCCGGAAAAACTGGCCATGTATGCCTGTAGTCGCGGGGATGTAAGTCGTGTTCCCCTTCTTCCTCCTTTCCTTCCCCTCTTTCTCCATCACCTTGTTCATCACCTCCTTTTTTTGCGCTTTGCGTTCGCGACGGCATCCCATCTCATCTCGAGTCTTTACCCACCCTTATATCCTTCATACACGCATGTCACGCCAGACTAATATTCCCCGGCAGAGCATCCCAGGCACCCGCCTCCACTTCACCCGTATGCTCTGCGGCTTCGACGAGGACGCCACGACGCTGCAGCAATTGGACCACCGTAAGGCGTCTTCGTCCTCGGCGCGGCGGGATCCGCGACGGAGGAGCGCTGGAGGGGACCGGATGGGCCGTCATTGACGGGGCGGGACCGGCAGCAAACCGTGACGCCCTCTCTCCCGCACGATTAGGAATGTATGGGGGATGGTGGTGGCTATGGAGTCATGGGACATGATTTGGAACTCGGGTTCCCTTTGTGAGGATTGGGATTTTACAGCAGCCTCGTTGTCGACCTCTGGACGATCTCTCTCGGTGGCTAGGGTCGAGCAGTGCCCATCTCGTCCATCGTCAGGGAGTTTGCTATGAGGTTCAGGCACATGAGGAAAAGGGAACAGTAGGGAGTCATGGAGTTATGTCACCACACACTTTCAAAAACCTCTCTCAAAGTCATTGTGCAACGAATTCACGACGAGATAACAGGCACAGATGTCAACATGTGAAAGAATTGTGTGATGGTCTTCGCTGGTATCCGCACTGGATCAGCCAGCTGACCAAAAGCTATGTAGTTCCCTTGGATATTCTCTAGGTATCCTGCAAGGTATTTAAATGTGGTCATCATAATTACACGAATGGCATCCGCTTGAGACGGTGCCGTGGTTTATAGTGCAACTGTCATCCCCGAATACCCGGGGCCTATTTTCTGAATCCAAAAACAAATGGGAGGGCAATAATAGGTAGTGAAGATGGGAAAAAGCACCGCCAACTCCGAGTAATGCAATGATGTAGAGTACCCAACGAATCCTGCTGTTCGTTCCTGTTTTCCTCCTCAGCTGACTCAGGTTCGCCCTTAAGCGTACCTGGGGCTCTGAGTCCTGTTCATCTCCCACCCTCCATTCTGGTAGGGGTCCCCGCCATGGTAAGGCGGAGGAGCGCCGGGACGTGTAGCAGACGGCGGTGGCGGAGGGATATTGTGATTGCCCCACGCCTCTCCGTATCCGTTCCACCCGCCGTTATGCGCCATCGCCGGCACGGGTACCGGCTTGAGGCGTTTGGCCCTCTGCCGGCTCCGGCTCCTTCGGCACGCGCCGCAGATACAGCTGAAGAGGACGACGAGGATCAGCAGGCCGACGACGATGACGACGGGGATGAAGATGCCCTTGTTGTTCCGGATCCAGTCCATGATCTCGGTGCCGGTGTTGGCGCCCTGGCACACCCCGTTGGAGCACTTGCCGCCGCCGGTGCACGACGTGCCGTCGAGGAAGTTCTGGTTCATCGTCACGCAGGCGCCGTTACCGATGCTGGGGACGTTGCAGGAGATCATGCAGTCTGAGCTGCCGCTGTTGCAAGAGCTCACCGAGGTGGAGTTGGTCCGCGATCCCCAGGCGGTTTTGCATTGTTGGTCGCGAGAGGTGCACTGCCCAGAGGCGCAAGTGAGGCCCTCACCCGAGTTGCCGCAGGAATCGCCATCAGAATTGTGCTTGTCACTGGGGCATGTTGATGAGGTGCCGCTGCAAGTCTCCTGAGGGTCACAAGAACCGGTGCTCGGTCTGCATACGGTACCATTGGAGGCGAACTGACACTGACCGTTGCAGCAGTCCTCGTTGGCGGGGTCGCAGACCGAACCAGTGGTGAACTTGCATGTCGTGGGATTGCAGCACTTGTTGCTGCCGCAGCCAGATGTGCCACCGCAATCGCAGTCCTCGCCGGACTCGACGATGCCATTTCCACACTGGCTTCCGGTGATGGTGTTGACGTTACGGTTGTTCGTCAAGCAAGTCGACTTGACCTGGTTACGAAGGAGACCGGAGCAGATGTTTCCGATACTGCAAGGGGAGAATGCCGTGATGCCAGTACCGGTCGACGGGTTCATGATGTAGGAGCCACCCGCATTACAGGTATTGGAGCTCAGGGGACAGCACCTTTGCATGTCGGAATCACCATTGCTGCAAGTGTCGGAAGTGCAGTCGTGTACTGCACCAAAGGTGTGGCCGACCTCATGGGCAATGACTTGCCACTCGCTGGGCGTCTGAATCACTACGTTCGCTGATGCAACCGTCTCGTTATTATTGCCGCTGCCTGATGTCTGGGCTCCATCGGTACAGGCCTGTCCCAACCACGCAAGACCAACAGCAGATTCGGTACCGCAGGTACTCAGAAGCGTCCAAAAGGCGTTGTCGTCATTGGACTTACCACGCCATGCTGAGAAGAGGTTCAGGCGGTCGGTAATCGTGACACTGCTGCTGCAGGCGATGTTCCACGGCGCGGTCGAACTGGCTTGTCCAGGGCAGTTGGCATCGCTGATTGTGAGATTTTGAATTCCGAGTGAGATGTTGAACGTGCTTTCGTACACCTCAGACGCGGCGTTGATCACATCGATGATGTTCTGCCTGACAGCCTGCGTTGAGTTGAAGGCGGCGGTGTAAGTGCAGTCCGTGGCGACGCCGAGAAGGGCGATCTTGCGCGTCGTTGGGCAACCGCTGGTTTGTCCGATGGTGGAAACGAGGTTGACACCTGCACCGTTATTACCGGTGGTGCCGTCAATCTGTCTGCCGAAAATGTTGCGTCCGAAGAGAGAGTTTGATGGCACGGATTGCAGGGGTTCGGCATCCCGCGCGTCAAAGATCTTGTAGTCGGCGTTGAAGCCCAAGCTGTCCGAGTTACATGAAGACCGGCCGAAAATGTCCCGCTTCATCTTCAAATCCTCACGGTCGGTCCAGGATTCGACGATATCCGAATCCCTCCAGACCACCATGTACTCGTCGGGATTCCGGCCCTTGCCCGGAGCGTCGGGGTCCTCGCGGTGCTTGCGCGCATGGTAGTTGGTTCCAGTCTGGATTCGGTGATGGTCGTCGTCGATTCGGAAGGCGCCCTCGAAAATTGGTTCTGCGCCGTCTCGATGTACCGTGATTCTAGCCCATCCAGCGTGCCTCCAGTCGTTGGGGCTTCCCTCGTGGCGTACGAAAGCCTTTCCCCTGAAAACCCGGTGCTCTAACCTGTCGACGGTTTCTGTGGTATGGATCTTGCCGTCGTGGCCCATGTAGTTCACTTGCAGCGTATTATGGAGAATGTCATGGTTCGGTTCTAATGCAAGGCGTATTTCCTGTTTCTTGTCGTGTAGAGAGAATGTGAGATCGAAGTGCGAAAGGGCGTGACAGTGTTGTGAAGGCGAGTGGAAGACGGCATCTTCGAGGATGGTGACATAACTGAGAGGGTTGCGCTGTGTCGAATGTGCTGTTTGCCGTCGTCAGTATAAACATAGCCGTCGCCGTCGCTTGCCTACACGTACCAACAATACTCTGGGGAAGAGCCGCGAGGCCGGCAAAGGCGGCAGCTATGGTCCTTAAGGAAACCATGGTTTGTGGTGGTGTCCCCGCAAGCAGGGTGAGGCTCAGAGAGGCCTCTCAGTTGTGGTGTTGCGTAAGCCTCTCGAATAGGGGAGAGAGAGAGGTCTGGTCGGTTTGTGATGGTCCTAAACAACCAAACAGAAACCAAATGCTGTGCTCGCGTCGCACGGCGTCGTTCCGTGTGTTTTCCAAAAAAGAACGATACACACGAAGACGAGATGACGAAAGACGACAGCAAGAGGGCAAAAGTAATAAAACACGAACGAAAGAATGGAGTGGTGGACGGGGGAAAGAAGGTGGAAAGTCCGGGTGTTGGCGCCGTTCGACGGGTGACAGAGAGAAAAGGGCCAGTGCTCAGGAATTATGGGATCTTCGGGGGGCGTGTGGCACACTGGTGACTGACTGCAGAGAGAGAAAGAGAGACACAGAGTGAGAGAGAGAGAGGGTGAGATGAACGGTGGATTGCGCAACACGATCTCTTGGTACGGGGCGTGGACCAACTGCATTGGAGCTCGGGAGGTGCTGTGGATTCCAGAGGCGGGCTGGGCAACGTCTTGGTAACTCTTGGCCTAGTGCTACTCGGCGACGCGGCAGTGGCAACGCCAATGCCCAGGTATCCTCGTGGGGGCTGGGACAATGCAGCAGTAGCGGGCGGTCCACCTCGTTCGGTTGTTCAGTCGTTCAGTCCCTGGCAACCAACCCGGGTTCTGTATCTCTCGGGCTCCCGTGTCGTGTGTGAGAAATAAATAATAAACGACAGTCCCAAAAGGGGGGGTTGCATCCGGGTGAATGAATAAGGATGGGTTTAGGTGTGGTTCTGCAGACTCTCTATCTCTCGCTTTTGCCTACTAGGAACAGGGGAGACGATGGGTCGTGGTTTGGATTTTGTGTCCCTGTTTCACTAGGTATTAGTTGCTGACAACCTCTGGCAGGCCGCAAATGCCAATCAATTCTGCGACCCGGTCGATCCCCCAACGACCCCGAGCCATGGACGCCAACACGGGCGCTACGCTGGACGCTGCGCTTCCTCGCTCTCTTAATGCTCCAAGGTACCCGGTGGGCTGGCTGTCACTGACATGAGGGAAAAAGGAACAACGAGAAGAATACCACAGAAAACAAATGCCGAAGAACCCGCCGTCCGTAGCCTGATCCGGTCCGACAATCACTACCACCCACTACTAGACTGGCGTGGTTTTGATAGCATGCAGAAGCCGGCATCGGCCATGTATACGTAACGTTTGCGCTTTAGTTCATCTCATGGCGCTGACCGACATATGCACGCGATGATTCAGGTCAAGCAAGAAGAGGAAAAAAAAACTCATTCCAACATACCTATTGAAAAAAGGCGGTTGAAGCTGCGGCCCTGCGGGTGCGTGCGTCCGTAGCGAAGGGGGATCCCGGCGTCGAAGGCCAAGATACTCCTTTTCCGGGGATCTGACACTGTCCCCGTCTGAGCTGAGGCACGAGGATGGCCGTTGGAGTCGAAATTCCGCGAATACCTGCTCCAACTCCCGCGAATGCAGAAGTGGGATTCAGGAACGAGGGGGCGGCGGCCTGGACAGGCAATGGAGCCGATGAATGGAGGGGGGATGCGATGGGATGACAGCCCTGAGAAGCGTTCTCTCTGCGTTCGGATACGTAAAATCTCGTAAGTTGAGGTGGCGTGTGTTGGGTTTCCCCTAACAGAGGGATTCTTATGGTGGGCTATTCTTAGCCCTGCTGATACCTATTGTGGACAGAGATACGTACCTACCCTCTTTGCTGTTGCAAATCACGACCTCTCCGTTGTGTGTTTCA